GACGATTCCCCTGGTGTTTTTACGCCAGAGGATCGCATTGTGCTTGCCAGCATGCAGGAGCGGCTTGATAGGGCGATTGTGGCGTCCCTGCTGCAGCGCAAGCAGCAGGACATACGCAACTTCTTCCAGCCGGTGGGGCAGCCGGCGAGGCAGCCTACCGCCCCTCTGGCCCCATTGAGCTGATTTTGGTAAATACACTTGCTTGGTGTGTGGCTGCTGGCATACAGTGCAAAGCAGCCCTCAAATGCTAAGATTTGTGACGTCCCCCGCCACAGCGAACCAGCAGCTACCAGATTTCACTATTCGCGATAGCGAACAAACCGGCTATAGTGAACATGCCGCCGACCCCCAATGGCTTCACTGTAGCGAGGGAAGACTGTAATCGCAATGGCTGCCCTGATGCAACGGGCAGGTAATTCATGGAACACCCTTGGGCTGCAAAGTGCAGGCGAGGCTGGTATGTGGCATGCTCCCTAGCATTGGATGGTACGAGCTGCCATTGGGATGCCACACCCCAGCCACACTGGCCTCTGCAGCTGAGGTTACCCTCACACGTCGACCAACCCCGCCTTTTCAAGCTTGTACTTTCCTGTAACCCGAGCTCAAGCCTTTTATGCCGCTCTGATTGACTCGCGGTCACGCCAGGTGATTTGTGATACCAGGTGGAATGGGCAGGGATGCCCCACTCCCTGTGAGCACTCTGCTGCTTGCCGCACACTCCAAGATAGTTGAGGTATACTTCTGATTCATGCTCAAGCGTTCTCAATGTCTTTTGCCTCCAACCCACCGAGCGTCGGCCCTGCTGCACAGTCAACGCTGAGGCGGTGCTGCGGCGCGGTCAAGGCGCAGACAGTTCCGAGCTGCACATCACTGGCTAGTCATATTGCAGCGCTCAACTCCGGCGCAACCGCCGAAAGCATCCCAGCCCAGGATCCCTGGCACTGCGGTGGCGATCTCCATCCATGCCGCTTGCTGCCGCTGCTCCCTGCAAAGCTAGGACTTATTGGGTTCTAGTACATCTGCGAATCAACGATGTGGTTGCTATCCAGGCGTGATTTCAGGCCGGGCGGTGGATGCCCTCGGCGTCAGCAGCGAGAGCAGCCCGCTGGCCGCTTGCCAGGAGTAACCCGCCAAGCAATTCAAGAAACGTTAGTGTCAGCAACTAATATCAGCGATCACAGCCTGCTGCGCAAGCTCTGCGGCATAGGTGCGGCGGCGTCGAACCAGCGAAGCGGCGCTGCTGGGTTCGCTGCGTGCCAGGCTCAAGGTGCAAACGTGATGCACTGTGATCCACAGCTGCACATGCTTTGTTCGTGCAGGGGACCCTGACGACGACATGGCAGATGTCAACAATGCCAGCAGCTCCGACGGTTCCAGACGGCGCGCCCCTGTTTCGGCCCGTCGCTCGTCCACTGCGACTGCCGAGCTGTGTTGCCCTGCAGTCGTCGTGTTCAGCGGCGGCACGGCATTCAACAGCCTGGCGGGCCACCTGCGGCAGCTGACCACACGCGTGGCACACGTGCTGCCCGTGTCGGACGACGGCGGGAGCACGGCGGAGATCGTGCGGGTGCTGGGCGGCCCCGCGGTGGGCGACATCCGTTCCAGGTGCCTGCGACTGGCGGACGATCAAGGGTCGGAGGTGCGTGGCGCCGCGGCGCGGCGCCGACATAAGCAGGACACGGAAGCTGGCGGCGGCCGTGCAATGGCAGGATCGTACCGAGCATCAGCAGTGTATTGTCATGCAAGGTGTGCAGACGCAAATCGCTTCCGCAGGCGTTGAATGGCTGGCTTGTGCCTGTTTCGACCTCCCCCCCCCCCTATGCGAGCCTTCGCCCGCCGCCCCACTGCCCGGTCCAACCCCTCGCGCGGCCCCGCCGCCCGCAGGCACGCGCCGTAAAGCGGCTGCTCGCCCACCGCCTGCCGCATGGCGACTCGGCGGCGGCCAAGGCGGAGTGGTACCAGATCGTGGAGGGCCAGTCCTCCCTGTGGGACGGCGTCAGCGAGCCCTACAAGCACATGATCCGGGCCTTCCTTATCCACTTCCACATGCAAATCCTCAGCCACTCCACAGAGCAGTTCAACTTCGGCAACGGCAGCATAGGTGGGCAGGCGGCGCTGCGCTCGGGGGTGCCGTCTGCAAAGGCGGCAGCAGCGGCGGTTTGAAATTGGCTCAAGTGCTGCCTGGCGGGCGCCGGCAGCGGTGATCGTCATTCAAACATCCTTCATCTGGAAAAGCCGTCCTGTCTCAACAAGCAGACCAAGACCAACGCGTCACCAAGATCTGCGGCAGGTATCAGTGCGTCCGAGTCCAACCTCCATCATCCCCGTCTTCGTGCGCCTTGCCTCTCAGGAAACTTCTTCTTTGCCGGGGCGCGCACATTCTTCCGCTCCCTGGAGTCTGCAATATTCCTTTTCAGCAGGGTGGCGCGCATCCCAGAGGGCTCTGTCGTGAGTGTCCCAATCCCCCTTGGGGTCTGACCTCCCCGCGCTGACACCCACCGCGCTCAGGAGCCGTGGCCGGGCCACTTTGGGGCTCGCGCCGGCCGGGGTGCACGTGTTGCTGTTGAGAGCGCTGCCTGAGGTGGTGGTCTCAACTGTTTGCGGGGTGCCCATGCACGGCTCCCGCGCCCGTTTGATCGATCCGCCGGCCGAGGCATCCATTTCGCGCTGCATCTGTCCGACAGGTGCTCCCCGCGATCTGCACTGAGGAGCGCATCACGCTGGGCGCAGAGCTGGAGGACGGCACCGTGGTGCGCGGGCAGAACAACATCAGCCACCCGGCGGTGGACACCAGCGGCGGCGGTGAGAGGCCGCGCCCGGCAGCAGAGCTGCAGGCTCCGCAGCGCGCCCCGCCTGCGTCGCCCTCCGCATGACCCCACTTCCAGGAGGGGACGGCCAGCTGCCCCTGCCTGCTCTTGTGTTGGCTCCCTTTGGCTCCCGCCGAGCTGGGCGGCCCTGCTACCCCACCCAGCACCCTGCGGCGCGGGCCTGTCTTGACCTGACCGCCTGACCAACCTGAGCACCTGTCAATGCACGTCCCAGGCGGCGACTCCAAGCTGGTGGACAAGTCGTTGGACTACCCGCCGCTGCCGTCCCCCATCCGGCGCGTGTTCTACTTGTCGCACGAGGGCACGGGCCAGGAGCACGAGGTGTACCCGCCCCCAAACCCCAGGTGCGGCGCGTGGCGCTCTTGGAGGCTGTGGCCGTCGCGGCAGCAATACATTTGCTGTCTTGGCCTTGCGGCCGCGCTCCTGCAGGCCTGCAACCAGCGCTCGCTCTTCCAGGCTGCTGCTGCGCGCACGGTTGCGGCCTTTCACAGGCCCCTTGCTCCCGCGTCACTCACCAACCACAGCTCTCCTTTCTCTCCCCCGTACGCGCGTGCGCGCGCGCACACACACACACACACACACACACACACACACACACACACACACACACACACACACACACACACACCATCTGTCTCTCTCTCTCTCACTCAGTCTCTCTCTATCACACATTCAACATCTCACGCACACATCTCTCAGGATTCTTTCTGAGATCCAGAGCTCTGACGCCATTGTGTACGGCATCGGGTCCCTTTACACCAGCATCTGCCCCTCGCTCATCCTTGACGGCGTCGGGGAGGCCATCGCGGCGCGGCCCGAGACGCTCAAAGTGCGCTGGGGGCGCACAAGGGCCTGGCGAAGCCTGCCGAGGGGCGGCGGAAATGACTGCGCTGGCCCAGGGACAGCACCCAGGGTCGAAACTTGACAGGCACAGGGGTTACCCCGTCGCCTCTTTTCGTGCCTGTCACTTGTGGCACACTGGGCATCAGCCTACCGCTCACTGTCCTTACCCATCGGACGTGCTGACCCTGAATAGCGGCCACCCACCCCTGAAAACCCTCCCAGATCTTGCTGCTCAACGGCAGCCACGACCGCGAGACCAGCAGCACCGGCACCCACGACGGCGTCATGCGCGCCAGCGACATCGTCGGCGCCGTCACCGACGCGCTCAACCGCCGCCGCGCGCGCCGCGGGCAGCCGCTGCGGCACCCCGCGGGCACATACGTGAACGTGGTGGCGGTGCCGCGGGGGGCGGGCGTGGAGGTGGACCGGGACGCGTTGGAGCTGGTGGGGGTGAGGGAGGTGGTGGAGGTGGACAGCGCGCGCGATGCAGAGGGGCGCTGCGTGTACGATGCGGAGGCGCTGGTGCTGGCGATCGGGCAGCTGCTGTACGACCGCGGCCTGCTCGCGTGCGCGTGAGGGCGCCGGGCAGGGGCCGCGCGGGGGGCGTGGCTGCGGGGGGCCGAGCAGGTGCGCGGGCGCGTGCTCGCGGCGTGGATCGCGCTTTCTTGGCTTCTCCAGGGTTTCTTTTTCGGCTGTGGTGCAGGCCGCCAGTGCGGCGCTTTTTCATACGTCATGTTGAGAATATTGATTTCTGCTTTAGTGGCCATTTTGCTTTGCTGCGGGCCAAGTGAACCAATGGGAGATGTTGGGATAGGCTCGGTCAAACCAGTAAGAACAACCTCGACGCCGCGACGGCCTGGGCTCGCGCCTGTGCTGCGAGCCATGCAGCCTGTGTGAGTATTTGTTACCTGAAAAACCGAAATGTGTTCATGCATGCATTGCCGGCGCACTGGTGTGGCAGGGGCCCTCGCTTATCAGGCGGCGGCAGCCACACCGCCAGCTCGTCCAGCCGTGGCCCATGCCTGATCGTCGCAGCGCTCAATTGTACGAATCACAACGTCCCTCAAGACAATTTTACGTATCCTGAGGGGCTTGAGAAGGTCACCCCAGGTTGCTAGCCGAGTGTCCGCAATCGACCCGGGCTTGTTGAAAAAACGCTCCGGTGTTGATCGAGCTCATAGACAAGGCCTGAACAGTCTACAGTTCTGCGACATTCTCGACAGCAACACACTTGGGATATTTTCACCATGATGCTCAGCAAGGCCCCGTTGGGGGTCCAGATCAACACCCGGAGCCGGTCCCTGCTCGCCTGCCGGACCGCTCAGGTAGGTGTATTGGCCGCAAAGAATGGATGGGACGTCCAGATGCGGCCGCCGTGTTGAGGCTGGATTGGGGCCTCCGGGGGAGGGTCACCGGCATCAGCAGCACGATCCGACAAACCCTCCTCGCCCGCAGGTGCCTCTGATTGGCAGGGGATCCATTGCGGCTCCCCTGATCAAGCCCAGTCAGTGGGTGCAGCCCGAGCAGAAGCGCGGGCAGGAGACTCTGATCGCGCGTGCTGCCGAGGAGTCCAAGCAGCTCGACCCCTTGGAGACGTGAGCAGGCGGGACTGGAAGCACGTGGCATTGGTTGCAGGGCGACGTGCTGCGGGGCTTGGCGCAGGATGCTTCCTCGCTGCCATGGCGACATGGCCGCCGACCCCGCTGCCCTGTCGCCACCGGGTGACGCGGTTGTTTCCGCGCTAGCTGATCGCCGCAGCGCCTTGTTCGCGTCACAGGGCCGTGTCCAAGGTTGTGGGCGCCAAGAATGCGCCCGCCGCTGTGACCCTGGGCTTCATCGCGCTGTGGTGAGCCCCTCGTCAGCACGGCAGGGCCTGGGCCACAAGTGCACCGCACGGTGCGGCAGCGCTCCCAGCGATCCTCCAGGACGCTTCATAAGCCCGCTCTCTGGTATGGTGCCCTTTGAGGCTTCCTTGGATACAAACAGCGGCAGCACCCCGCGTCGAGCGGTGCGCAGCTCAAGTCGTGCAGCAGTGCAATGCGCCCTGTGGCGCGGCGCGACGCCCGCGTCCCTTCCCGCAACTGCCCATGCCGAACGTCCACCCGCTTACACCCCAAGGTACGCGCTCAACGTGTACTTCAACCTGCTTAACAAGTCTATTTTCAAGTACTTCCCCTTCCCCTACACCGTGTCGACGGTGCACGTCGTGGTCGGCACAGCCTACTGCGCGGCCACCTACTTCCTCGGCCTCAAGAGCTGGTCCTTCGGCAGGGTGCGGCCGGCGCGGGGGCACGCCCAGTGGCGCACGCGCGATGGGAGCGCGCGAGCCGCCGTGCGGCGCGGCTTGGGGGGAGGTTGCTGAGTGGGGAGGTAGAGGGTGAAGGCCAACTTGGTCGGGAGGCCAGAGGTGCAGCAGCTGGCCCGTGGGGGAACCGGACTGCAGCCTGCTGCGCCTTTCCGGAGGGCAGGTCACAGCAGCACGCGCACACATGCATGTGAGCACAAATCTGCACCCCTCGCTCACACAAACACAACACATGTGCACGCTCTCTAGTTGTACACAAACGCACGTGCGCACACACTCACTCGCGCGCACACACACACACACACATGCATGCACGCGCGATCCCCCAGGCCATCAGCAAGGCTGAGTTTGGCACGGTGTTCGGCCCCGCCGCGATGCACGCCATCGGCCACATCGCCGCCAACATCTCCTTTGCCGCCGTCGCCATCAGCCTGACGCACACCGTCAAGACCCTGGAGCCGGCCTTCAACGTGCTGCTGTCGCGCCTGGTGCTGGGCGAGGCGACGCCGCTGCCTGTGGTGGTGACGCTGCTGCCCATCATGGCGGGTGTGGCGCTGGCCAGCGCGGGGGAGCTGTCGTTCAACTGGACGGGCTTCATCAGCGCGATGCTCTCCAACCTCACCTTTGGCTTCCGCGCCGTCTGGGGCAAGGCGTGAGTGCCCCTTGCCGGCTGCCGGCGGGAGGGGGTTGGCGCAGCGCGTCGGGCTGCTTGCCGGGGCCGGGCTGCAGCGGAGACGACTGCGGTCCGGCGCGCAGGCGGCCTGCTCGGCAGTCCCGGTGCAGCCAATGTCGCAGCCGAGCCCACATTTGCGCGCCCTGATGCCTCTCGCCCTGTGCCTGCGTGACCTGTCGTCCCCCACCCCCACCCCCCTTAGCGCTATGACCAAGACCCTGGACAGCACGGCAGTATACGCGTACACCACGCTCATCAGCATGCTCATCTGCGTGCCCATCGCCCTCGTGATGGAGGGGGCCGGCCTCGGCGCGGGCGCCCAGGTGGGCGGGCTTGGGGGGCGGACCTCGGTTTGGGCCCGCAGGCGGCGACGATGGCAAGCTGTGCGGACGCAACGAGCGGCGGAGGGAGGGGCCCGGGGCCTGTGCACTGTATTGGCACAGCAGTGGCTGTGGGAGAGCGGCGAGAGCTGGTGTGCTGGCGGCGGCGCGCTTGTTCGCACGTACACATGCAATGGCAGCAGCTCCCAGCACGCAACCACGTCCTTCGTGCGCACACCCACCACACATACGCACAGCCGTGACATAGGCGTGCGCGCGCACACACACCCACACACGCATGCATGCATGCATGCATGCATGCATGCACGCACACAGGACCGCGCAACAACCCACACTCGAATCTCGTTGAACGCGCTCCACACACCCCTCCCCCCCACACACACAAACACACACAAAAACCGCCAAACCTCTTATGCACCGCTGCACCGACCCACACCCCCCCCCCCCCAGGCCGCCATCGCCAAGGTCGGGGAGTCGCGCTTTTACCTGGACCTGTTCCTCGTGGGCCTGCTTTACCACCTGTACAACCAGGTATGGAATTGGCAATGGCGTAGTGGGGGGGGGGGTGGGTTTGCTGGATCAACAGCGTGGGAGTGGGTGGTCGGTCTGCTGGATGGCGGCGGAATCCGGAGACGCGGGGACCCTCAGCAGGGACCGCGGGAGACTTGATTGCGTGCTTGCGCAGCATGGTTCTGGTGAGGCCTGATTCTGACCAGCTGGCGCTTGCCCGTCACCTTCAACCGTCCGCGCTCGCAGTTTGCCTTCAACACCCTCCAGCGTGTGTCCCCTGTGAGCCACGGCGTGTGCAATGTCGTCAAGCGCGTTGTGATCATCTTCTCAAGGTGGGAGCCTCGTGCACACACGCGTGTATACTTGTGTTTGCATGCATGTGTATGAGTATGTATGTGTGTGCGCATGTGCATGCAATCTTCTGATGCGTAACATGGGGCATGCAAGTGCGAGATGCGCACACGGGCATGCTGAGATGCCCGCCTGCGCAGCCGTCGGCCTTGCTTCAGTGCGCCCCTGATTTCAGGTTACATCACATGGAGATGCAACTTAAAAAGGCAGCTGTCGACTCATGCATTCCTGCCCAACACCTCCCCGCCCCCACCTGTCCCGGCACCCTGGACCCCCCCTCCCCCTGCAGCGTCATATTCTTCAACCAGACGCTGACTCAGCAGGCCCTCATCGGCACGGTCATCGCCCTGGCCGGCACCTGGCTCTACACCGAGGCCTCGTCGCGCTTCAAGACTAAGAAGGCCCCGCCGCCGGCTGCGCCCGGCAAGCCCGCCTCCGCATGAGGCGGCATGACGGACGGGGCAACGGGGCCGCTGGGGCGCAGGAAGCTCTCGCCCTCCCACGCTCGCCGCGGGCGGCGGCCGCGGCTGCCGCGCATAGAGGACGCCACAGCTGGGAAGGGCCAGCACACCGCCAGCGCAGGCGCCGGCGCAGGGGCAGCGCTCCCGGCACGAGCGCTAGCCCCGCAGACTTTCGCACATCTTGACATCACCACAAGCTTAGCAAAATCTCATGTAACGCACCGCCTAGAATGCATTACGCGTATTCAGCTGCGAGCGCAGAACGGCAGAGCGAGCCCCTTGCAGTGCTGCGAGCGGCGGTCTGAGCCAACTGCCAAGTAGCATCAGGCACCCCCCTTGTGCCGGTGTTTGAAAGAGGATGTGCTGGGCTGACGTTTTGGCAGGGGGTCCGCATGCACATGGGGTTCAGCCCACTGGGACGAACCGGCAAAAGCTGGCTGCCTGCGCCTGACCTGAGGACGGGGCGGTCCGCCCAGCAGACCGCGTGCGGCGCACGTGCGGGTCATGACTTGCAGGTCCCAACATGCTGGATGGAATGTCTGTCTGAGTTCACTGGTGGTGGGCAGCTGGAAGACACCTGGGAGGCAGCTGGGACTGGGGGCCTACTTGCCACCAGTCACAAAGCATAACCGTACCCTGAACGACAATCTAATCCACACCGCACAATGAACACACACACATGCCTGCATGCGTGCAAACACACACACACACACCCACACACACGCGCGCGCCAACTGTGCATCTGGTTAAGATGATTGCAAATCATAATTGTAAGTGAGAGTCCTGGTGCCACCTTGCCAGCCGCCTTGCTGGTGTGCTGCTGCCAAATGACCTGGCTGCATCAGGCGTATGCGGGTATCGCTGTCATCGCTGCTGTGCTGCCATCTGCTTTGCCCTGGGCGTGGTGAGATAAGACATAAGTGCCAATGCGACATTGCGGCAATGAGAAGGTAGCTGCTGAGAAGCAGTTGCGCAGGCGCGCACATGCACTCCTGCGCGTGCGTGTTGGAGCACACTCAGGAAGAAGCCGGTGCAGAGGACCCTGTGCCTATAGGAATTGACAAAGTGCGTGACGGTGGCGTATCACTGCCGGCGCTGCACTGGTGCCGGCGCTGCATTGGTGCCTGCACAGGCCACCTGCCACCAGCCTGCACTACGTGCAAGGACAAGCACTGTCATCGTCCTTCGAATGCCTGTCTTGGCTGGGGCTGCCTCATGGCAATAGTGAGAAATGGTTTCAAGGCAGCCAGGCCATGCCCAAACGGCTGGATGGCTTCCACAGCCATCACCATCACCCTCACCACCACAAACAACAACACACACATCAACAACACCACAGCCACAAAAACAGCACTGGCACCAACAACATCACAACAGACAGCGCCTGGTGCCCCTGGGAAACGCTGACGGAACTACTGTGGCGCTGCCTCTTTGGCTGCCTCTTTGACTGCCTCTTTAACTGCTGCGGCTGCAATGGGCTTGGGCTTTGGGTGCATGCGGTGCTCGCGCGGCACGGGCAGCAGCGCCTTGCGGCTCAGGATGATGAGGCCCTTGGCATCGCGGCCCTGCGTGGAAGACGAGGGGGCGGCAAGACGGCGGAACGGTCAGCAGCCGCCCGCACAAGCTGGGCAGGGCGCCAGCGGCCGGCCCGGCCGCCACCGTGCGGCGACGCGCGTGCCGGCGCGCGCCGGCGCGTGCCCGACACCCTGCGCGACGCCGCAGCCTCCCGTCCCTCCCAGCCAGCCGCCGCACTTTCAAGCAGGACGCCGCTGGCCCCGTCCCGCCTCCCCCAGACGCGGCGACCAGTAAGGCACTTCTCAGTGGCGCACATCATGGCTGAGTATCAGGCACATCTCAGTGGCGCACATCATGGCTGAGTATAAGGACCGCCCCGCCGTGTTGTCAAGTTTCAATTTTCGAGATTTTAAAATTTCAAAATTTTCCGAGAGGCCCACCTTGCAGAGGACGTCGATCTCCATGCCCTCTGCTGCGACCTCGTGGATGTCGCGCACGCGGTGGTGCGCCCACTGGCTGATGTGCACCAGGGCGGGCATGCCGTTGGGCAGCTGCACGTGGGCGCCGTAGTCGCTCACCTTGAACACCTGGGGGTCGGTTGGTTGGTTGGTTGGTGTGTGGGAGATTGGAAGCAAGTGTGAGGATGTGAGTGAGTGTATTTGAGAGAGACAGAGAGAGAGAGAGAGAGAGAGAGAGAGAGAGAGAGAGAGATATAGAGAGAGAGTGTGTGTGTGTGTGTGCGTGCGTGCTTGCATGTGCGTGTGCGCGCGCGCGTGCGTGCGTGTGTATTTGTGTGTGTGTGCGTGTGTGTGTGTGTGTGTGTCTGTGTGTGCAGGTGGGCTGTGGAGGGGTTGAGCATAACGTCGCGGGGCCATGGCGCATGCCAATGCGAGGCGCAACTTTGCTGAGCAGTTGACGCGCTCCAGCCCCGCAGCAGCCAACGCGCAATGCACCCGTTTGCTCGGCTGTGCGCGCTCATGGGCAAGCACACACTTGTGCACACACTTGTGCACACACTGACACTCACACACGCACGCGTGCGCACACACTCATATACGCACACACACAAATTGACACAGACATGCAAAAAAACGCATGCATCCGCACAAGAAATCCTCCGATCTCCGGCAACAACAAAACGCGCCCAACCGTCGGCCGCACCTTGACCCTGTACGTGGTGCCCTCTGAGATGCTGCGCCCCTCCACCTCCATCACGGCCTCAGCCGCGTGGTCGTACTGGCGCCGCGTGGGCGCGTAGATGAACACCTCCCCGCTGTCGGCCACGATGAGCTTGGCGCCCGTCTTGGCCTCGATGTCGAGGAGGTTGGCGCCCTTTGGGGTCGGG